GGCCTAGGTGCTGACCCTGCGCTCTTTTGCTCAAGGCTATCCCCCTACCACTTTGAGCCATAGCTCCACTTCTGGGTTTGTTTTGAGTGGTTAATTGGAGAGAAGAGTGTCATGAGGACTTTTCTGCCTGGGCTGCCTTCAAAGCATGATCCTCAGATCTTAGTCTCCTCAACAGTGAGAATTACAGGTATGAGCCACCAGTATTCAGCCTTGAGCTTTTTTTGCTCAAGGTTAACACTCTACCACTTGAGCCATAGCTCCACTTTCAGCTTTTTTGGGTAGTTTATTGGAGATGAGAGTCTCATGGACTTTTCCCACTCAAGCTTGCTTTGAACCTAGATTCTCAGATCTCAATCTCCTGAAGTAATTAGGATTATAGGTGTGAGCCACTGGCAACCCAGACAAAATTGTTTCTGGTCCAAGACTGGAGATCAAAATCAGTATCTGACGCTTTTACTCTTTGGCTGGTGCTCTACCACTTGAGCCATGCCTCCAACTCCAAACTTAACATTTCTAAAACTGAACTAGTCTCTAGCCTGCTTTTCTGTTAGTCTTCCTCTTCCGGTAGAAACGCTTATAATTGATCAAGACAAAAATCTTGGGAGTCATCTTTGATCATTTTTTTCAAAGAATGCACACACTCATACAATTCATCCACAACACTTGTGGGTTTTATCTTCAATACATAGATAGAATCTGACTCTTTCCTGCCTGTCACCAAGCCATTTCCACCTATGAATCTCTCCCCGATCCTCTCAAGGAGAGAATCCTAACCAGACTTCTTCTACCCTCAACCTTCACTTATGTCACCAAGCCATTTCCACCTATAGTATGAATCTCTCCCCGATCCTCTCCTCTCAAAGAGAGAATCCTAACCAACCTTCACTTAACATGCTCAATAGAATAACTACAGATACCTTTTCAGACGGTACATCAGTCCAGGTGCCCATGCCTGGAATCCTAGCTACTCAGAAGGCTGAGAGATGAGGATCAGTTCAGAGCCATCCCCCAGCACTTCCCCAGGAAAGTCCTGTGAGATTCTTATCTTCAATAAATTACTAAAAAGCTGGAAGTGGATCTGTGACTCAAGTGATAAAGAGTGTTAGCTTCGAGCAAAAAAGGCTGAGCCAGGGCCCAGGCCCTGAGTTCAAGCCCCAGGACCAGCAAAAATGAATAAATAAAACTTTAAAAATTAAAAAACGTCAGATCTTATCAGTACTCTTCTCACAGTAAAAGCCTAAAAATTGTCTGTATGGCCCTGCCAGGGAAGAACCTTTTTTCTGTCAAGAGCCACTGGATATTTACAATGCCTTACAAAATTATCAATATCAATATAGGCAGTCCAGCCATAGGCAGCCAAGAGTGCCAAGAAATGTGTCTATCCTGCCATGTTGACTTTTTTTTTTTTTTTGGTACTGAGAATTGAACCCAGGAATTTGCACATGCTAGGCAAATGCTTTTTTTTTTTTTTGGTCAGTCATGGGACTTGAACTCTGGGCCTGAGCGCCGTCCCTCAGCTCTTCAGCTCAAGGCTAGCTCTCTACCACTTGAGCTACAGCACCACTTCCGGTTTTCTGCTGGCTTATTGGAGATAAGAGTTTCACAGACTTTCCTGCCCGGGCGAGCTTTGAACTGCAATCCTCAAATCTCAGCCTCCTGAGTAGGATTAAAGGCATGAGCCACCAGCATCCGGTGGCAAATGCTTTTGCCACTGAGCTACATCCCAGCCCTATACCAAATGATTTCTAGGACCATACATATACATATACATATATATATATATATATGACTGGATAGCCAAACGTTCCCAATCTCTGCACCTATAAAATCTTCCCACCCATTCCTCTACTGTCTTACCTTCACTCCCCCCCTTCCTCAGTAGCATCCACACTGGTCTCCTTGTTGTTAGGGAAAACTACACACTATCTCATTTCAGGGTCTTTGTGTTTGCTGTTTACTGCTACTAATGCTGTTTCCCTAGGGCTTACACAATTTACATGACTTGCTTCTTTACTTCCTTCAGGATCTCTGCTCAAATGTCACCTTCTCCTAGAGGATCATCAGCTGGGAGGTGAGAGCACTGTATGGCAGTGCATATGATTAATATATTCTAGACCCTGAGTATAATCCTCAGAACCAATATAAAATAAAATAATATCACAACTTTACCAATCCACCAATCTTCGGGATTCTTCTAATCCCATTTCCCTGTGTTTTAAATTTTATTCTAACCTTGTTTTGAGAAAGAATTTCATTCACTACGTAGCCCAGGATGGCCTCAAACTCCAGATCTTCCTGTCTCTGCCTTCCAAGCATTAAGATTATTATAGGTGTGGACTACCATGCCCATCATTCCTGGATTTGTTTTCTTCAAAGCTGTAACATCTGGCAGGCTATATCTTTATTATTACCATATACTAGGATATAAGCTCCATGATAGCAAAGATTTTTTTTATTGCTTTGTTCACAGCTGTTCCTACTGCCTAAAACACAAGTAGAGGCCTTCGGAAACTATTTGTTGAAGTCAGGTACCGGTAGCTCATGCCTGTAACCCTAGCTACTAAGGAGGATGAGATCTGAGGATCACAGTTCAAAGCCAGCCTAGTTAGGAACATCCGTGAGACTCTTATTTCCAATTAACCACCAGAAAAATGGGAAGTGGTGCTGTGGCTCAAGTGGTAGCTTTGAGCTAACCAGCTGAGAGACAATGCCCAGGCTCAGAATTTAAGTAAGCAAGCAAGCAACTATTTATTGAAAGAATGATACTGAAATCTTAACAAAGAATATCATTACCCAAATACATCAACTATTACAAGAAGCAGAAACACCAAACAACCACATACACACTATTGCAAAAGGAAAAACAGTGTGTCTTTAAATGTACACCAAAAATCTTAGCTAGACACTGGTGGCTCACACCTGTAATCCTAGATACCCAGGAGGCTGAGACCTGAGGATGGCAGTTCAAAGCCAACCTAGGCAGGAAAATCTGTGACAATTATCTTCAATTAACTACCAGAAAACCAGAAGTGGTGTGTGCGAGCACTTGCCTTGAGCCAAAGAGCTCAGGGACAGTGTTCAGGCCCTATTGGAGATAGGAGTCTCATGGACTTAGGCTGACTTTCAACAGCAATCTCAACCTCCTGAATAGTTAGGATTACAGGTGTGAACTACAGGTGCTCAGCTTAGGTTTTTTGTTGTTGTTGTGGTGTGTGTGTACGCTGGTACTAGGGCTTGAACTCAGGTTGGGGCACTGCCCCTTAGCTTTTTCTCTCAAGGCTGACACTCTACCTGAGCCACCTCTCCACTTCTGGCCCTTTAGTGCTTAATTGGGAGATAAGAATCTCTTGGATTTTCCTGTCCCAGCTGGCTTTGAACTGAAAACCTCAGATCTCAGCTTCTGGAGTAGCTAGGATTACAGGAGTGAGCCATCAGAGCGTGGCTACTATTTAGTTTTATTAAGCCATTTGCACTGAAGAAACCTAGGTCACTACAAGCATTTCTCTTTTATTCATCACCATCCATAGAAAATCTGCAAATGAGCTCAGTGCCACAAAGTGTAGAGCACTTAGGAGGGGTAGGGGAAGGATCACAGAAAAAGAAGCTAATCCTCTCTCACCTGTCCCAAAAGAGAACTCTCTCCAAATCTATCTACAAACCGTTTTTCCCCCTAAATTCTTACGATTACATAATTGCATATACAGGAAAGTAAAACCTGGTTAGTCTATGTTTCTTTTCCAAAAAAAGAAAAAAGAACAAAAAAAAAACACGAACACTAGAACTACTTAGTTTTTGTTGAAAACGTTTTATTGTGAGGCTGACTTAATCAAAAGATCCTGACTCGACCTAAGATGTGGGATGGCCGGGAACTGTATTTTAAGGCTGAACAATTTTGTTTACTACTGTTGATTATTTAATACTGTACATTCTTCCCAGTCCTCTCCCTTCCCCCACCCAGGAAGAGAGAAAATCCACACTGGTTTAAATAACCAATAAGGAATGCTATGTCCAAAGGAAGCTGCTCTCTAAGGCTATGACCTAAGTGGTTAGCACTGACAAAGTTCAGAAGGTAGATGTCACTTGTGGCACCCATTTAAAAATAATAACAAATCAAGGTTTGGATGCATTGGAACAAGCAGAACGCAGAGAGAGGTGAAAAATGAAACCAATCGCTTCTCTCAGGCCTCCCCTCTGTGCCCTGCCCCTGTCCCCCAGCATCCCTTAAATATCAGCTTTCCAGCGTCGGTCCCCTCGAAGCTCAGCCCTGCATTGCGCCATCACACGAGTCAAGAGGAAACCCCAGGCAGTGACCCACCGATACTCTCAAATTGTAGGGGTAGATGGGGGGGGGGGGGGGGGATATGCAACTACTTCAACTCAGAACGGTACAGGCAGGCAGCTGTCAACAAAGCATCAGGACGGGTTCCCCGGCTCCGGTCCAAAGGCCCCCGTGGGCTCCGGGTGACCAGCCAAATCGCCAGGATTCCAAAGGGTGACTCGACCGTCATCGCCGAACCCAAAGGACAAGGGAGGGAGGGGCAGGTGAGCGCGGCGCACCCGACAGCAGTCCAGGATGAAGTCCAAGCAGCCTCCGCCCGCGCCGCGCCGCGCCGCGCCAAGCCGGTGACAGGGGGTCCGGCCCCTCCCCCCCAGGCCGCCGGCGAGTCACGTGCCGGGGCCAAACTTCACGGCCCCGCGGCAGGGGGGGGGGGGGGCCGGGGAGGCATCCCGCGCGCCCGGTGACTCACCGGCCACCTCCGCAGGCGACAGCGGGCGCGGGACGGACGCGGTGCCCTCGGGCCTCCCGCGCCCCGCGCCCGTTATTAATAACCCCGCGTCCCGCCTCGCCCGCCGAGCCGGCGCGCGGAATAAACAACAATGTCATTAAATCGCCGCCCGGCGTCGGTCCGCAGAGGCGGACCAGCGAGTGGGGGGGGGGGGGAGCCGACTTTGTGTGGAGCCCGCACCCCGCTCGCACCCCGCCCGCCGCCTGGCCTTACCCGCCAGCTCGTCCGGCTCCAGCCCGCTGTCAGCGTCGATCCCGCACAGCACGAAGTAGTGCGCGAAGCGGCAGGCTGCCGGGGAGGAGCCGGGGCCCGGGCCGGGGGCCGCGCCGCTCCCGCTCATCCCGGCCCGCTGTGGAGGCTGCGCCGCCGCTCCGACTGAGGTCCCCGCGCCGGCCCTACGGCGACAGCGGCGCGCCCATAGCGGCAGCCCGGGCTGGGCGCCGGGGAAGCGGCGGTGAGGGAGGGGGAGGGGGCGGAGATCCCGGCCCGGCGGGGGAGGGGCGGCGGGGGAGTGGCGGCGGGAGGCCCGCGCCGCAGCTGCCGCTCGTCAGCCTCGAGCCGCGGCGGCGTCTGGCGCCCGCGCGTCAGCTGAGCGGCGGTCGAGCCCGGCGCACGCGGAGCTGTGAGGGGAGCGCGTGCGGGGCGGAGCTGAGGGGAGCGCGCACGGGCGGGGCTGTGAGGGGAGCGCGCGAGGAAAGGTTTGTGAGGCGACCGCGGTGGGGTGGGGGGGAGACTGGGGGCGGAGCAGAGCGGGGCTGAGGGGAGCGTGGGCGGGGCTGTGAGAGGAGCGCTCCGGGAGAGGGCTGTAAGGAGGCGGGGCGGAGGGGAGCGCGCGGGGGTGGGGCTGAGGGGAGCGCGCGGGAGGCGGGGCTGTGAGGGGGCGCGCGGGAGGCGGGGCTGTGAGGGGGCGCGCGGGAGGCGGGGCTGTGAGGGGGCGCGCGGGAGGCGGGGCTGTGAGGGGGCGCGCGGGAGGCGGGGCTGTGAGGGGGCGCGCGGGCGAGCGGGCGGGACCGAGGGTGGGGGAGCCAAGTCCGGGAAGGAAGGGTAGGGAGGAGAGGGGACAGGCTCGTGCACGAGGAGGGAGCGCGAGGTCAGCGCTCGGTCGGGCGCGCGCCCGGCGGGCTTTGCTGGTAGCTAGAGCAGGATTCGCACCAGCCGGACTGGGCCGTGACATTGGAGTGACCCCCGCGCGCGCCCCCTCCCCGACTGCCCTGTGGGGACTCTTGTCTTCCCCGGGAAGTAAGTCTTCGCAGCTCTGGAGAAGGTGCACATCACAACGGATGGCTTGACCGTGTTGCTTGCGTGTGACGGGTGCGGGTCCTTCCTCCCGAGCTGTCCTTCCGAGGAACTCTGGAAGCACGGGGTCACCAGCTCTCCCGGCAGGTGCGCGCAGGTGCGCGCCCAGGGTGGTGGGGTGACAGGATTCCGACCCTGAACTCTGCCCCTGGCAAGGGCAGGCCGCTCCTCGCCTGCGCTTTCCGCTGCCTCCCTGTTCTGCCAAGGATCACCCAGCAGTCCTTACTCCACTGGAGGAGCCCATTAACACAGCGCCTACACTTCTGTCCTAATCCTCTGCACAGTCTCCTCGCTCTGAACTCGAGGCCGTGGAGAACCATCCTGAATACCCGTGGGTGGACTCAAAGCAGCCACTCGGGAGAGCACTGCGAGAACCTCGCCACTAATTGAATATTTTTCCTTGAAGGTATCCTCGAGTTCTTCCATTTTAAAATCTATTTCCTCCCCCTCCCTCACCCCCCCTCCCCCCGCCCGCCACCAGTGGCTAGTGCCTGTAACCTACCTACTCAGGAGGCTAAGATCTGAGATTCCACTAACCCTGGGTAGGAAAGTCCATGAGACTCCTATCTTCAATTAACCAGCATTTAAAGTTGAAATAGAACCCAGGCTCAGTTCAGGTCCCAATAGCGGCACAAAAACAGATTTTTAAGGTTAAAAAAAGAAATCAAGAACTCTGCAAGCTGGGTGCCAACCACACCCATAATCCCAGTCAGAACTGGGGAGGCCCAGGTAACACCTTGACCAGCTACAGGCCTATGCTACTTAGCCTGTCTCAGGAAGAGAAAGGAGTGGCCTCTGATGGCTCACTCTTTTAATCCTAGCTACTCAAGAGACAGCGATCTGAGGATCACTATTAGAAGCTAGCCCAGGCAGCAAAGTCTTCGAGACTCTCCAATTAATCACAGAAAAAGCTGGAAGTGGTGCTGTGGTTCAAGTGATGGAGTACTAGCCTTAAGCAAAGGAGTTTAGGGACAGTGACCAGACCAAGAGTTCAAGGCCCAGTATCTGGGGAAAAAAAAAAAAAGAAGGAAGGAAATCAAAGCAAGGATATCCTTTGTGATTGAGCTTTGACTTCTAGTGCACACTGCACTTCCTCCTGGAACACTTTTTTTTTTGGGGGGGGGTAGGGGAAGCACCAGTCCTAGGGCTTGAACTCAAGGCCTGATCATTCACTTTCCCTGAGCTTCTTTTGCTCAAAATTAGCACTCTGCCACTTAAGCCATAGCACTCTGCCACTTAAGCCCAGCCCTGGGACCACTTTTTAATGACTGCTCTGTGTGTGCTTTGCTGGCTTGTGAACCCCTCAGAGAAGGAGTCTTGCTCTCTGGTTAACTGCATATCCACAATCTAGAAGAACCCTGGCTCCACCCAGCCTCTCATTTCCATTTAGTGAATGATGGAAGAATGTTGATAATCTAGGTGGTAGCAGATTCCTGCTACTAAAAAGATAACTTTACAGCTGTGAATGTGGCTTAGTGGGAGAGTGCTTGCCTAGCATGCATGAAGTCCTGGGTTCGATACCTCAGTTCCACATACACACAAAAAGCAAGGCACCTAGTAGCTAGGCTATGGGCATGAGCCACCACTGCCTGGCTTGAGCTATCCTTGAGCAAAAGAAGCTCAGGAACAGTGCCCAGGCCTTGAGTTCAAGCTCCAGGACTGGGGGGAAAAATGACAGCTTTAAAGCTAATTATTCAGAAGGCTGAGATTTGAGGATTACAGTTCAAAGCCAGCCAGGGCAGGAAAGTCCATAAGACTCTTATCTCCAATTAACCACCAGAAAGCAAGTGGACCTGTAGTTCAAATGATAGAGCACCAGCCTTGAGCAAAAATTTAAAAAGCAAGGTTCAGGTTCAGTGCCTAGGTTTGAATTCAAGCTCCAGTACCAATACACACATACATACACACACACACACACACACACACACACACACACACGTACCTTTTTTTGCTCCCCCCCACAACTTTAATATCTAAAATATGCTTTTTACATTTATTTGTTGTATATGTTTTTACATTTATTTCATAGAACTTTTCTCCTTACACCAAAAGTGCTAAAAAGAAAAAAAAAAAAAGCTTTTTTTTTTTTTTTGGTGCTATTTTTAGGGCTTAAACTCAGGGCTTTGTGCTTTTTTTTCTTTTTTTTGGCCAGTCCTGGGGCTTGAACTCAAGGCCTGGGCACTGTCTCTGAACTTCTTTTGTTCAAGGCTCGCGCTCCACCACTTGAACCAGAGCCACTTCTGGCTTTTTCTTGTTTATGTAGTACTGAGGAATCAAGCCCAAGGCTTCATGTATGCTAGGCAAGAACTCTACCACTAAGCCACATTCTCAGCCCTTACTTGGCTTTTTTGCTTAAGGTTGGTACTACCTCTTGAGCCACAACTCTACTTCCAGCTTCTTGCTGGTTAATTGGAGATAAAAAGTCTCATAGACTTTTCTACCCAGCCTGTTTTGGAGCCTTGATCCTCCAATCTCAACTATTGAGTAGCTAGGACTGTGGGCATGAGTCACCACTGCCTGGCTTAAAATTACCCCGGAGTGAAGGGGTTAGCTGGGGCAAGGAATGCTGTGGCAGGCAATTTCTTGCAGAATAGTTGCTCTCTCAAATTCTTTTTTTTTTTTTTGAGGGGGGGGTCCAGTCATGGGGCCTGAACTCTGGGCCTGGGCACTGTCCCTCAGCTCTTCAGCTCAAGGCTAGCACTCTACCACTTGAGCCACAGCGCCACTTCCGGCTTTTTTCTTTTTGCTTATGTGGTGCTGAGGAATTGAACCCAGGGCCTCTGGCATGCAAGACTCTACCACTGAGCCACCTTCCCAGCCTTGCTCTCTCAAATTCTAAACTAATCCAATAAAGTCTAGCAGGAAAAAATATACTTGCACTATTATTGCAATATTATTCACACAAGGGTCATATCACATTTTGTTTGAACTATAACTGACTCATGAGCTTATAAGCCCCATATGAATGTTTTAACATGAAATAAAAGAAAAAAAGGGCCACCTCTCTTTTTTATACCTTCCTCTTCTCCATTCTAAAATTATACCATAGATGGGTGGGGATGGGAAAGTCGGGAAAGAATTATGGAAAGGGTGACATTAGCTGGATGTCAGTGGCTCATGCCTGTAATCCTAGCAATTCAGGAGGCTGAGATCTAAGGATCACAGTTCAAAGCCAGCCTGGACAGGAAAGTCCATGAGACTCTGATCTCTAACAAATCACTAGAAAACCAGAAGTGGTACTGCAGCTCAAGTGGTAGCCTTGAGCTGCAAGGACAGCGCCCAGGCCCAGAGTTTAAGCTCCATACGGACCAAAAAAAACCAAACTCTCACGAGTCTAACCAAAAAATACAGATATTAATTTTGTGTCAATACTGGGACTTGAACTCAGAGCCTCAAGTCCTCATATTGGCTTTTTCCTCTCGGGCCAGCACTCTATGACTTCAACCACACCTCCATTTCTGGCTTTTGGCTAGTTAATTACAGATGAGTCTCTTTAGTTTGTTTTCTGAGCCACCAACACCTGGCTAAAAATAAGTCTTGAATGACATTTATTTCTTCCAAGGTTTTAGCTTTCTAGGAAAATCCTATTGTAACAAAAGCCTACTAGGAAAATCAATAAATGTTCTTCCTTCATCATAGTTTTTGAAAAAAGTTTAATTGTGCCAGTAAGAATTTGAATGGCCAGCCGTGTGCCACTGGCTCACACCTATACTCCTAGCTCAGGAGGCGGAGAGCTGAGGTCACGGTTCAAAGCCAGCCCTTGCAGCAAAGTCTGTGAGACTCTTATCTCCAATGAACCACCAGAAAACTGGGGTGGGGGCAGGGGAGAAGAAGAATTTGATTGACCAACTGGGCTCCAGTGGCTTATGTCTTTAATCTTAGTTACTCAGGAAGTTGAAGTCTGAGGATTGTGGTTTGAAGCTAGCCAAGACAAGAAACTGTGAGACAATTAATCACTAAAAAGTCAGAAGTGTCTGGGCACTGGTGGCTCAAGTCTGTAATCCTAATTACTCAGGAGGCTGAGACCTTAAGATCATGGTTCAAAGCCAGCCTGGACAGGAAAGTCCATGAGACACTTAATTTCCAATTAAGTACCCAA